GTAGCAACAGTGGTTACAGTAATATTCCACTAACATTTATGTAACGAGATAATAAGGGCCCAAAACTGTGGCTATTAACTGATTATTACTTTGTAATTGAGTTGTAATAACTTAGAAATTACCAAATTATTATTAATTATATCATTCTTGTTTCTGCCTTTTTACGCTACTATTACCACTTTATTACTAAGCTTTAATAGAAAGTGCTATCAAAGTTTTGTTCCGGTTAGCTTTGCTTTCAGACCGCAGTCCAGTGAAGAACTTAAAGTAACGTACCTTCATCATTCGTCTCTACCTACATGGGTTGTGCGGTCTCTGTACTTCACACTGACTGTTCTGATGATGGGCATGTGCCTGATGGCACCAGTTAGCCTTCAATCAGCACATAGTTTTTAATCTAAATGAATGGAGTTTTAATTGGTCACCTGGATATAAAAATGACCTTCAAATTTAATTGAAAAAGCTTCAGAAAGTGTGGTGACTGTGTCCTAAAATACCATAACCAAAAAAGCTTAATTTCTGAAAATACTGAACAGATTCCATATTGGTTCGTGTTATGGATACAATAAACCAAATAAATATTTATTAAATCAACAAGAAGCAGTAGATGTTTGCAACTTCACTGTTAAAACTAGTCTAATGTGCAAATGCGCAGTGCAACAACATGAATATTAATTGGTTCATTTGGGGTCAAGGGTGGGACAACCTCCATCTGTGGGGTTATCATAGAGCGCCAGTCCTTCCTCTTTATATGATGTCTATGGCATTCTCTCACTCAGCCATAAATACCTGTGAGCTGTGTCACTTTGAGTAGTTTTTTGACTTTGGTGTCGACGCACCTTATTTCAGTACAAACTTGATTTGCTGTCATGGTATGATATTGTGTAGTTGTGTAAAAACCAAGTTTCAGTTCGATCTGGTCTAAAGTCCCTCCAAGACTTTGGTTGTTTGGTCTGGACCCGGGTCAAGGAGAGGTTTCACATTTTGAAGTGTTAGTTTATGTCAGACTGATAAGTAAGTCTGGACCAAACATGTTAGGTTTGAAAGTTTCTTTAGATGACAAGACTGACAGCACTTATTTATTGGGAAATCACATGAAGCTGGAGCAAATAACTGGTTTAGTTTAGTCCCACTGGTTGGCTAGAAAGGAGGAAAACCATTCACAGTGTGGCCATGGGTGTAACCAGCCTTTAGAAATGAGAGAGGTCCACAAACTTGTAATGTTTAATATTTTAGGGTTAGCACCTGTGCTAGAAGGTCATAGAGTTGCAATACAATCAAAACCATAAATTTTAAACACTGAGGACCATGAAATTTAAAAAAAAAATACAATTTTTCTTTTTAAATTAAAATGGCACAAAGGAGAAGGCTACCGGCCCTGACACTCCTGTGTCTCTGATTCACTCCTTATACCTACAACAACCAGTTATCATTTCACTGACTCATGCATAAAAGCCAACTCACGTCGTGATTTATAACAATATACAGTATTTACTTACTTTTAATTACTGAGGTCCAGACTTTGGACCTTATAGCTACCGGTAGTTACAGCCATGAATGTAGCTGGGCAGTCTCGTCCAGTTCACAGTGTTTTTTTTCTGAACTTTATGTTTTATATATTTCTCTGTATCTATGAAGCGCCTTGAGGCGACTTTTGTTGTGATTTGGTGCTATATAAATAAAATTGAATTGAATATGCAGACATGCACATCATATCACTCCTCCATTATAATTTTTCGTCGGATTTCAAATGAGCAATTTTACCAATTGTTAAAAATGTTTCCAAAAATGTTTTTGTAGGAAAGAAAAAGCACTCACTGCAGTTATTAGGATTCACTGATTGCTTTATTTTTAAGGATTATGATCTATGCACGACTGCTGGACATAAACTAGATATCCTTTTTATGTGGTTTGTGTAAATGTATGTAGCTTTGCCCAGAAGGAGTTGCTAGGTCCAGGTTTCTGCAGAGTGCTTCCTTGCTGCATGTTCAGGCTTTAGTATTTTACTTTTTTAGCCTCGAGTTCAACACCGTGTGCTTACATTTCTTGATTTCACCTATTTAATTTGATGCAACTTAAGATGATGTCAAAACAATTAAAACAAACTGCATGAGTGGTGGTCGGCATGTTTAATTTAAATGCTGACTGTGGTGCTAATAGCATATACTAGCAAGCAACATTAAGTAGGATACAGAAAAATAGTCAACTGAAATCTTAAAAAAAAATTCACTTATGCACAACTTGACAGCCTACTTTTCCTTTGTTACACTTTTTTTTAACAAGCTAACGAGGTAAGCTAGTCAACGAGCTAACAACAAGGTAACAAGCTAGTTAAGCTAATTGTAGTTAGCGTCGTGGTTCGTACTTGCAGATGTAAAAAAGGCAATGTTTATATAAAGTTTAATCAGAACATAAGAAAGAACTTTTCTCACTGTTGTGTGGAGTTTAAGTAATTTGTTGAGTCTTTTGTTCTTTTAATAAATGAAGTTAGCTTGAAGTAACTTCATTCTTGAACATGCGCTAATGCAAACACTTCTGTAAATGTTTTGGTGCCTTCACATAATTTAAACTTGCAAAACAAAACATTTTCACTGCAGTCTCAGATACTTTACCCGGTGCATTTAGACTAATCAATAAATTCATAGTAATTAAGGGCGGTCCAGTCTAGCCTTTTCAGCTCAAGCACCAAGAAGTGGGACTCCATTGTGACCACAGTGATGCTATTACAGGCTGTAGCCCTCTCTCCTTTCAAGAGAAGGGTAGATCACTTTTCCTTTGCACTCGATTCTAATCTCATTGGCTTTCATTTTTGCCCCTGGCTAATGAGCCGTAACCTCGTTAACCTAATCCGTCTCATCCAATGAAGGACAGGTAAAATTATCATGTTGCCTAATAAGTCAGTGGTGGAAATAAATCATCCCAAAATACTGACGTGACAGGCTGTGACGGCGGCGGACAGCATGAGTCTGCGTTCTGATTGATAGGCCATTTTGGTGCAAAGTGGTTGAGCAGCGACAGGCCTCTTGTGATCACCGGATCAGGCCGAGGTTAACAATGAAGAAGAGAGTCGCAGAGCACAGTGAAATCCTCTCTCTTATCCTCGACAGTGATGTATTCACTAAGCAACAAGAGTGTGTGAACTGAATCAGTCATTGCAGCCATTAGTGTCGGAGCTGGAGGTTGTTCATATTTCGGTGGCTCTCATTTGACTCCGAGGTCGCCGCTAATTGACACATATCTGTGAATCTGTGGATAGTGAGGTTATTGTGCTGTTTATTAAAACATATCGTCCTTGGTGCAGCACAAAGATATTTGGTGGTTCAGAAAGTCTCCGTGAATGAATCTATTGCATGCTCTTTTAAGGTTTGCTTTATAAGGTTTACATTTATCTTTTTTTGTTTGAATGTTTTTGCTATTACTAACTTTTATAAACATCAGACTATCAGCTGTGGTATTTTTCCGGCAGTGTATACAGTTATTCAAAATAGTTTTACCAACTGCAGCATGCAGGTACATCCATGCTGTAATACTGAATAACAGTCTTTATGGTCCTTTCACTATATTCAAATGTAAGTTTCTACTTTGTGGTATTTTTACTTTATTTATTTTCCAGTTATTATCACTGACTACCAAAGCATCTCACCCCCGACTCTATATATTACAAAGCATTCAATGCTCATATTTAAATATTTAAATCTGATGATGGCAACGTGTTTAAAAAAAAAAAAAAGCAAGGATACATCTCACAGAGGAGAATCTTTCTCTTTCTCTATCAGTTGGAGTTTCAGTGCTGTGTAAATGACGTGTGTGGAAAAATAGTTTCACAGCCTAACAATGGCATGCCTCTGTCTTTTGTTATTATTAAAGCTTCAGCGAATCCAGAGAAGTCTCTGCAAGTGACGAGGCTGAATAAATGACCTTCAGGTGGCAAATATCTGAAAACTTTTGTGGGTGAACGCAGTTTTTCACAGCACCCACAAATGCAAGTTTAAAACACCAAGACGGATCGTTTAAGGCTGCTTTCCTTTCAGCTCCAATCCTACAGAAAGCAAACACATTTAACTTTCAGAAATACAGAAACTGATTTCATCAGCTCAGAAAAGCTTACTATGAGGTGATGCAGCTGATACGAGTTGCACTTTCAGTTGTATTTTCAATTAAATATAAGCTTTCATTGATTTAAAGCTGCATTCTAACTTATTTTCACATTCTGACCAAATAAAGGTCTGAAAATAGGATTTAACTGGACTCTGGTACAATGATGATGCATCTGGCAATGAACAGCCATGTTTAATATTGTTAACAGCTCCTTACAAAGATAATAACTTCAAACACAGAGATTCCTGA